GGTGCAATTGCTTGCATAACAAATGTAATGTCAATGAGCCACGCCCAAAGCAAATTTAATACTATTATTTAATACTATTATTTAATAATAATACTAATATAAAATTGAATACTAATATAAGGGATATGCAAAGTGTAGCATAATTATTAGGGCGTTAAAAATATACTTTAAAAATGTGGGTGAGCAATTTAGTGGGAACGCAGTTTACGCTTGCTTTTGGCTGTTACATGACTTACTATTTTCTTATTTTATTTTTTTTTGTAAGTTAGCTCAAATGATCAGCTTTGCTGTTTGCTTTTCATTAGAGTATTGGGTTATCTATTGATAATATTAATGGAATGATTTGGCGCGGCAGTGCTGCGGCACGATCTATTTTGCTAATTGCCAATACACAATATTAATCCCTAACTACAACAAACGCATCATGCTGAAACCCTAACCCTGACAAGAAATTATACCAACTTCCTTATACCATGTATTACTATTAGTATATACGGTCATATCACGTGATCGATATAGTTTTTCGCCAATATCTTGCCAGGTGAAACCCCATGTCATCATGTCATGGGGGACGGGGGTGATTTGGAATCAGCGTCCAAAAATACATAAATTCAAGTTAGTTTCAACTGTCGGGGGCCATTTAAGAAAAATTTCGAAAATCAAGAGTAGAGTGATATCGGTTTAGCACGCTTGACTAAATCGCTCGCCCTATGAATTTCTTTTGAATTATTGTGAAAAGGCCCTGAGGGTTAATCCGGCCGGGACCCCAGGCTATGAACATAACCGAATACTAATACTAATAGAGATTCGCGTCGGCGGAATAACAGGCAAGGCTGAGCGCCGCCCGGCGCCCAGTAACCTGAGGGTATGTTGTATTTGTAATTAAATTATTCAATTTCATTATAATCATAAAACCTGCACTTATAACCAAAGTTGATTGACGATGTCTATTCCTCGCAGCTGATTGGCTTATTTGTCGTGGCCCAATTTAATTGTGCATGACTAATGATTAATGGTGCATCGCACGCTAATCTGTCACATGTAATTGCGAGAATCAATATTTGATGCGCAGCGCGGCCCAGTCTATAGTACTACTACTATAAGTGTAATAATGCATTGCGCTACTAATACAGAAATACAATGGTACGTATAGTAGAGGCTCTTACGGGCATTGTCTGCTCGATACGTTAGGGACCCCAGATACACCTTACTAGACGTATTTTTGACCGTAGAATCGATTGAAAGTGGTTTCAAGATGATTGGACTGATTGTTCTGGGGTAAAATCGCAAAAAACCGATTTTTGGGCCAAAAATAGGCCAAAAAACCATGTTTTTTGATATTTTGAGCAAGTTAATTTTGTTGGCATGTCGGCATAAAGATAGCTAAAAGACAGCCGCACAAGATTGTATAAAAATAAAACAAATCCCTCTATTTGTTCTGAGGTAAAAATCCAAAAAAGTGGTAAAAATTTTGACTTTTTTGCTTGAAGTTTGAATAATTTTTTGCAGTTGTATTAAATCAACCCAAAAATAGTCACATCGTGTTTGCCTAAATTTTTCCTTTCCGAGAAGTACCCACTTCATATACTTTATCGAAGTTTGAATATTGTCACTCCGCAAGCGTTTTTGCCAAATTTTCGACGCGCACTACGCGCAAAAGCATTTAGTTGTTATCAATTGGCACCCGCGCGTTCATCATAAATTTCAAACAGCTATAACTCAGCGAGATTATGTCCGTTCTAGCTCATATTTTCACACTAAATAGAAAATAATGTGACCTTATTGCTGACAAAATATGAATATAATTACTCTATTTGCCTTAGAGTAATAGACTGTCAAATTTTAAAACGCGCATTGGTATAGCACGTGACTAATAAGTCCAAATTTATACTTCTTAACATATTATCGATCCTTAGACATCATACTATTGTGTCCAATTAGCGGTTAGGTCTCTAAACTCGTAGCAGAAAACACGTCTTTTTGCCCGTAAGAGCCTCTACTAGTACAATGACCAAATATTATTTATATTTAACTTTTATTACTTTCAGTGTCGACTCGCGCAGAACAGTAACTGTTAAATTCTCCTTGATGCAAACTACTTTAGAATACACGGGTTGGATCTTTAGTTGAATATTTTCTTAAAGTTAAACCATTTTCTAATGTTTTACACAACATACATTTACAATAGTGAATAGATTATTTCATCTTTGTAAATGTCGTTGTTTCAAGTTTAACTGTTTGATAATAATCAATAATCATTAATCATACAGTAAAAATGCTTTGTACAGTTTTGCATGCAACCCTAGCTCCGTCGACCATCATTGAGATGGTCGACATGACAATGTTTGACGAAGAGCACTGAAAGTTTGAAACTTTTTAGTAATAGTAAAACCCCAACTTAATATCAAAAAAACAAAGGATTCAAAAAAGAAAGATCTTATCAGTTCATTGAGTTCAAATTGTAATAAAATAGCAAGTATTATACTTATAGTGCAGTGAAACCCCGATTTAACGCGGAGATCTAACTACTAAAAAGTAGTAAAAAAGATACCAAGATACCAAGATACCAAGATACCAAGATACCAAGATACCAAGATACCAAGATACCAAGATACCAAGATACCAAGATACCAAGATACCATGCAAGATACCAAGATACCAAGATACCAAGATACCAAGATACCAAGATACCAATACCAAGATACCAAGATACCAAGATACCAAGATACCAAGATACCAAGATACCAAGATACCAAGATACCAAGATACCAAGATATATACAGTTAAACCCCAATTTACCGCGGAGTTTGGGGAAAGGAAACATTCGCGGTAAATCGGGGTTCGCGGTAAATCGGGGTTTTGTTTGTTTCATGTTTACCGTTACGATATGCACCGTTGCACGTTAAGCTCTATTCAGGAGAAAAGATATGGCTGCGGTAAATCGGGGTTTGCAGTAAATCGGGCGCGGTAAATCGGGTTTTACTGTAGTTAGATCTAATTACTAAAAAGTTTCGATACTCGTTTTGAGCTCAAAGTCAAATAAAAAAATGCAAAAAATTATTTTTCCTGGAAATTATCTTTCCTTTCCTATATTAATATACGTAACAGATCAGCTCGTTATGGATATTTCAGCATGCCTAACGTTTGGAACAAGTTACAAAGTCACAGAACTACTCAACGAAAAAGACATTGGTCGCAATAAAGTCCTCGGTCCATACTTCACACCAAATGAGTTAATGTCCGTTGATGGTTGCCAAAGAATGTCAAACATATTTTATGTTACCCTCAGGTACGTAGGTCTTATTCATTATTTCAACAAACAAATATGTGCAGAGTTTTTAAAATGTGCCTAAAATGTATGTTTTAAATACGATTGTACATATTTTGTAAGTTGTGAAACATCACATTTTGAAAATGAAACGAGACAAATATTTTTGTGCTTCAGCAAAAAGATATCATCAATTATAAACAGTGTTAATTTAACACTCAATCAGATTGTTGCGGGTATAACTATAAACCATTTAAAAACTTTCAGCTTGAATACTTGCATTGAGATTGCAGTATGGTGTATTTGGTTTGCAGTTGAAGACCGACAGAAGAGTTTCAAAAGCAACATATTGTTGGTTAACGCGTTTAGCGCATTTTTCTGCGTCTTTGTGGCCCTTGTTACAACGCATTCAGCATTCCTTCCAATTATATTGGACTCTCTAACCATCAAAGGTAAGCTTTGTCTAAAGGATATCACGGAATTTAACAGATCTTGTGCCGTCTTATATTAATCTTGTGATCGGTGAATATATGTTTTGTCCAGCCGATATAGGCATATTTTGTTTTCTTTGAATTCTTAACTCCTGTACATCTGATAATGTGTGATAGCGGTGCTACTACTACTAAAGCACTCCGATTATTTTAAAATCCTGAGCTGATACTAACAAACTGCATGTTAATCTAGGAGATGTGATTCTGGTGCTAAACTCCGGCTTTGTCAGTCAGTTCATAGCGGCACAGTTTTTACACGGAATTGTGGCTTGGACGTGGTGTAGGCCAGGCCCCTCGCAAGTGGAGGAGCAGAGCATGCTCACTGACAATTCAGATATCAAGAAGGTATTTTGATAATTTCTGTCACTGCCAGTTATCTTCAGATTATATTATTATATTATTATAGTAAATAGAACTAACATTTTTGTTCACTCAACTATCAGAGAACTACAGTATTAGTTGTTTTATTCTGAAAGTACAGGAAAAACTTGTAATTTAATTTTTATCGCTTAAATACTAGAAATCACAAATGCAAGTTCTATTTAATAGGAAAATGTTTAAACGTTTAGTTCCTAAGATCGAATTACAAAAAACGAATCGGAAAGCAATTGCTTATTTGATTTCATTGCAAAATGCAAATAATCCGAAGATAAGAAATGGCTATAGTTCTATGTTATTATTCGGTCAGAACTAAATTCGAACTGATATTATATGTATCATGTATCTCAATAGTCATTCATGATTTAATGTCTTAAATTTTCAGTTTCCGCGGGATTTTCGAGGAACGAGTAGTTTAGAGAAGGCATTCTCTTTGTTAGAGGAATTAAAGAATGCAGGAATGTCCTATTGTCGGACACGTTCGGGTCCCGAGTGTCATCTGACGAAGAGCCAAGAAAAGGTAGAACTGCGAGATGCCTCGCACGCCTTTGAGCTCCGAATAAAAAGAACTACTGTTATTTCTATTTATTCTCACAAAAGATATTCACAGAGGCCGTCAATTATTCACGGCGTAGACTGTAAGAAATTACTGAATTCGATGAAGTTAGTTGGTGCGAATAAAACTTCTCAAGTGAATACTAAATCCGTTGATTTTTCGACAATCTAGATCAAAATACCCCTGAAAGTTGTACTTGTATTATCACTTCTACCTGGATTGTATGGTATGTATTCATTGAGAGAGACAATATGTTTGCTGTTACAATGTTTTGATATGTTTAGATTTTGAAATAAAGACGTTTCATTAAAAGGGAGCGTGTTGCATTTTTAGAAATATATTCACAATCGAAAATAACATTTACAAAATAAAAATAATTAAAAAATGCATCTAGTCAATACTTAACCTAAAATTTTCTTTGAAAATACGTTTATAATCTTATTTAAACGGCGCCCTAGAAGTTCGTTTTTGCTGAAACTTTTGCTCCACCCAATCAATTTCATTATTTTTGGACAGCTCAAAGTATTCACTTATGCAGTAAACGCATATAGTGTATTTTTATGGCTTTTCACGATCACACACGATCTCAGAGAGTGACGTCCTGGCCTGGTTTAAGAGCTGTATTTTTAAAAGACAATGATCTGACAATAAATCTAAATTCTTAGCATCTATGAGGTTGGTTCGAAAATTAAGGTTGACCAGTTTTGAGTCATTTAAAAAATTTATTTTAAATTAAAACTATTGGGTGAAAAAGTTCACGGCAATCTGTGATCGCTCATCCGAACAAACTGTGGGCACTGAAAAACTATATTCATTTCAGGATTTGTAGTTAGGATTCTAGAAGTAGAACAAAAACGATCCTGTCCGCAATTCATTAAATAAAGTTAGGCCAGCTGAAAAACAATGTCCAGCATCATCAATTTGACGCAAACATATTTTGAATATTTTCCACTAAAAGGTACGTGAAGCAATCAAAAGACAATATAACGACAAAACCGGGTAACACGACAAAATAATCTGGGAGCTGTTACTCTGACAGCCCTGCTATCTATATCACGTGACATCCTATATCACGTGACATAGTAGAGGCTCTTACGGGCATTTACGGGCATTGTCTGCTCGATACGTTAGGGACCCCAGATACACCTTACTAGACGTATTTTTGACCGTAGAATCGATTGAAAGTGGTTTCAAGATGATTGGACTGATTGTTCTGGGGTAAAATCGCAAAAAACCGATTTTTGGGCCAAAAATAGGCCAAAAAACCATGTTTTTTGATATTTTGAGCAAGTTAATTTTGTTGGCATGTCGGCAAAACTTGCATAAAGATAGCTAAAAGACAGCCGCACAAGATTGTATAAAAATAAAACAAATCCCTCTATTTGTTCTGAGGTAAAAATCCAAAAAAGTGGTAAAAATTTTGACTTTTTTGCTTGAAGTTTGAATAATTTTTTGCAGTTGTATTAAATCAACCCAAAAATAGTCACATCGTGTTTGCCTAAATTTTTCCTTTCCGAGAAGTACCCACTTCATATACTTTATCGAAGTTTGAATATTGTCACTCCGCAAGCGTTTTTGCCAAATTTTCGACGCGCACTACGCGCAAAAGCATTTAGTTGTTATCAATTGGCACCCGCGCGTTCATCATAAATTTCAAACAGCTATAACTCAGCGAGATTATGTCCGTTCTAGCTCATATTTTCACACTAAATAGAAAATAATGTGATCTTATTGCTGACAAAATATGAATATAATTACTTTATTTGCCTTAGAGTAATAGACTGTCAAAGTTTAAAACGCGCATTGGTATAGCACGTGACTAATAAGGCCAAATTTATACTTCTTAACATATTATCGATCCTTAGACATCATACTATTGTGTCCAATTAGCGGTTAGGTCTCTAAACTCGTAGCAGAAAACTCGTCTTTTTGCCCGTAAGAGCCTCTACTAACATCCAATATCACGTGACATCCTATGTCACGTGACATCCAATATCACGTGACATCCAATATCACGTGACATCCAATATCACGTGACATCCTATATCACGTGACATCCTATATCACGTGACATCCTATATCACGTGACATCCAATATCACGTGACATCCTATGTCACGTGACATCCAATATCACGTGACATCCTATATCACGTGACATCCAATATCACGTGACATCCTATGTCACGTGACATCCAATATCACGTGACATCCAATATCACGTGACATCCTATGTCACGTGACATCCTATATCACGTGACATCCTATATCACGTGATATCACATTGCGAGGTTTGAGTTGCACGTGTAAAACTGCAACTAACCGATCAACGGGGGAGGTTTTCATCCCACATATAACTTAGAAATTTTCATCAAATATAACTATTAGCAATTGTTAAGAAGCAGATCAAATACAAGGTAATTGTCAGTTCTCTTCTGCGGGTTGCTCACTTTAGAGTGAGGTCACGTGAGCACATGCTCACTTTAGAGTGAGGTCACGTGGGTACATGCTCACTTTAGAGTGAGGTCACGTGGGTACATGCTCACTTTAGAGTGAGGTCACGTGAGCAGTGTCGTCAGAAGCTTTTTCTTGGACTATTCGGCTGCTTTATAGTCAGCGACACGTGACACGGTGTCATCAGGTTGAGTAAGATGGGAACCAGCAATCCCCGGGCTCGGGGACTAGGATTATGTGGCCGGCAGTTTTACTGGCTCCGGTTCGGGATGTCTCTCCGGTTCGGGATGTCTCTCCTTGGAGTTCATGGTTTTAGAGTTTAGGTTTCTCTTCTTGGAATGGCGTTGACGTTGGTCGGTGACGATGGACTTGGACGGTCCCCCGATAACGGCATACTTTTCGAACACGTCTCGTCGAACACACCTGAAATTGGATGTCTGTTAACCGAAGTGAGTCTGTTTGTGAGCTGTTCAGAGCTACGTTGGGTCAGATGGAGGACCTGTTACGGATACTCTAAACAAAAGGTCACTGACCCGGAAACTTTACAAATACTAAGCATTCGGAATTTTATTTATAGATAATAAGATTAAACGTGGTTCTTGCTTCTCGTTCATATCAGCTAAATAATATAAATTGACGATGTCAAAGTAGCCCTCGTACCATTATAGCAGTAAAACAGACACCCAATAGTCTGACGGCTGAAAGCAGTATTGGTCGATGGCACGTCTAAAGTCGTAACTTCACATACAAGTTTAAAATTTCCGAGTGCTAGTTATAGATAATGGAAATTAAATGTTTGTCCTTCTAGTCCGTCCGTAATCAGAGCTATAATGAGTATTTAAACAATGACCGCACTGTCCGTCAATGCTCGAATTTTCACAGCAATCAGGGCATTTTTGTACATATCTAGTGAAAAATTATTCTAAATTTAGCACTGCAAATACTTTTAGTAGCTGTGATCCCGCTGTGATCCTGCGACATAACAGACAAATCTCCTGCTCCTCGTCTTACGAAAAATTTAATTGACGGCTGACAAATTGCTGAATTTGTCCTTTTACTGACGGTCTTGATTGATAAGCAGATAAGAGGCAACAGATCCGGAGCTGTTCATCACAAGTGCTCTTGTGAGTTGCTAATTATCGGATTGCAACCAACGTATTCTGACAAATCAAAGCCGTCCAGAGAGAATTAATCAAGGTTTCTAAGGCTGGACTTATTTAATATCCTACAAATAATGTGGGAGCTGTTACTCTAACAGTCCTGGAGTTGTACTCTGTTCTTTGTAATATCAAAGGAGATTTTATTATCTTTCTAAAGAAAAAGGCAAAAACCGCATTCTTATGGATTTGTACCGGATATTTGGATAGACTACAAAAGTATAAATGCCGAGACTTGCTCCCCCACCTAAGGATGGAATCCAGCTAACGGAAGAAAGGGACTAAGGTGTAATATGTTGGCTGATGAAGTTATTATACCCAACTGTTAAAGTTACATACTCAAAGCAGCATGCTGGTTATCCCCAGCATCACTGTACAGTTCCGTGACAGCCTAACTTCCTTATATGGTAGTGTTACCATGGCGATATTACCGTATATGGTAGTTTAACTTGAGGCACAAAGCATGCTGATTATCCCGAGCATTACTGTATCGTTCCGCGACAGGCTAAGAGAGATTACCAAGCACTCAAGACCGAGAACGTTACCCATTATCGTATATCAAATATCAACATCATGGGTTGATAATGAGTTGGATAAGGGAGCTAAAGTACGAGCTGGATTAAGTTCCGTGACATTAAGTTCGAATTTTGCTCATAAATAAATGTTGTATTGGGTAAGAGATAATGATGTTATGGTTCGAGAATAGTCGCCGTGTAGGTTTGTCAGTTGCCAAAAAAGGGGAAAACAGAGGTCATCAACCAACACTCCTCCGATCTGTTTTAAAAAGCTTTCTCACCAGCAAACTAAAGATAAAACCAGTAAAGTCAAGATAAAACAGAAAATAATGTTTAATATCTTACCCGCAATCGCTGGCAATGGCCACATTGTGATATTGAAGTGATTCTTGATGGTTGGTGTGGTCCGTACACAGCATCAGCGTAGGGTGCATCTCCCAAGAAACCTGTAACATTTAGTCTCATTTAAATAATCTGTAATTTACTGTGGCAAACTTTTGAATTTTTTCAATAATCTCAGATTCATTATGGAATTAGATTTATCATTAATTTAATTATCAGTAATATCAAAATCACTGGTAATCGTTTAGATGGGTGGGTACCAGGTTCGAAAATAATAGGCCTCCCTGTTTTCTTAGGCTCAGGGCTGATGACTTAAGGCATGTTAAAATGTAAGTTTTTTTCCGATTTGAGGGCGGGATATACTTTAATATACTATAATATGGTCAGCCTCACCAGGATTAAAGGATAATAGCAATATTAGCACAAGAGAAACAGCTGTGAAATCAAATGCTCTTGTGGCCCAATATACTAATTCACTCTCTAAATGTTGTAATAATCATTGCGATTACGATATAGAGATTATATCAATTGATTTATCATTAACTTTAATATCAAAATCACTGGTTATCGTTTAGATAGGAGGGTACCCCGTACCGGGTTCGAAAATAATAGGCCTCCCCGTTTTCTCAGGCTCAGGGCTGGTGACTCTTGAGGCCCAATATACTAATTCAATCTCTAAATGCTGTAACAATTATTGCCATTACGATAAAGAGATTATATCAATTTACTTATCATTAACTTTAATATCAAAATCTCTGGGCCATTTAGTGGATGAATTGAGTAGTTGTAAAAGTGTAAATAATAAATATCAGATGCACTTGTGTCCCGTCTAATGTCTTATTACTGCAATAATTATAGCAATTATTGTGATTAAATTATCAGAATGTGAGCATAGAACATTGTAAACGAGGTAAATTTAGGATATTTTACAAAATAGGGGCTATTTTACAAATTAGTGGAGTCTAAATCAGGTCCCTTGAGGTGTTAAACTCGTATTTTTGACCATGTGATAAATTCCAGTCAAACTAATGAAATCAGTTTCGTTTTGACATCAGTTCAAGATTGAATACCCGGAATTCCTATTTATCGAAGCTACATATTTTTGGTTTATAATATTTAGTGGGAAGCACACAGCTAATACTAAAGAACCTACAAAATATGCAAGTTGTGGGAGTGTCCTATAACTACTACTACCAGAAGAAGAGATATGTGGGTTTAGATATCGTGAAAGCGCAAAAAAAGGGCGTGGTAAATTGCGCAAAACTGCCCCATACCCAAGCCAAATTGGTTTCTGAGGGGTCCCTTGAGCCGTTCCAGGGCTCAAACCTCGGGGCGGAAGACGTTTTCTACGGGAATATTCTCAGATCCTTGATTATAACTACTAAAACTATATATTTGGGAGTGTCCTATAACTACTACTACATATCTATAACTGTAAATGTTTATTTAACTTTACTTTCTTCTTTAACAACTCCCCTCTAACATCAGCCCCTAATATCAACTCTTCTAGCACAATCTGAGGCTACCAGTTACAGCTGTCAGAACTTTAACTTATGGTTACTTTATGCTATTTAGCGTGTCATGGCTTCTAAATTGCCGCATTCTTAGCTTATTTTGGTAGAAACCTACGACATAATGAAATTCCTCAGAAATGGAGGTGAATTACGTAAAAAGTAACTGCTGTCTGTCAAGAAGAGAAGAAGGAAGGAAATATCAGTATCAACAACCCTTCTCAGCTCTATACCACGTGCGAATTGTGCGACTAACTTAGTACACCCCCCCCATATACACATATCTTATATACGTTATCCAATAAAATACACAGTTTTCAGGGCCGGCAATTTTCATTGAACCTGGTGGATAATCTGTGGAATTATTTTACCATCCAGTAGAATTACAATTCTGATAACCAGTATCCGGTTACTGGTAACTATTTGCTAGTTACTGGTGACTGGTAACTGGTCATCAGTGACCAGTTACCAGTTACCAGTGACCAGTTACCATTTACCAGTTACCAGTGACCAGTTACCAGTTACCAGTAACCAGTCACCAGTCACCAGTTACCAGTTACCAGTCACCAGTCACCAGTTACCAGTTACCAGTTACCAGTTACCAGTTACCAGTCACCAGTGACCAGTCACCTGTCATCAGTCACCAGTCACCAGTCACCAGTCACCAGTCACCAGTCACCAGTCACCAGTCACCAGTCACCAGTCACCAGTCACCAGTCACCAGTCACCTGTCACCAGTCACCAGTCACCAGTCACCAGTCACCAGTCACCAGTCACCAGTCACCAGTCACCAGTCACCAGTCACCAGTCACCAGTCACCAGTCACCAGTCACCAGTCACCAGTCACCAGTCACCAGTCACCAGTCACCAGTCACCAGTCACCAGTCACCAGTCACCAGTCACCAGTCATCAGTGACCAGTCACCAGTCACCAGTCACCAGTCACCAGTCACCAGTCACCAGTCACCAGTCACCAGTCACCAGTCACCAGTCACCAGTCACCAGTGACCAGTGACCAGTGACCAGTCACCAGTCACCAGTCACCAGTCACCAGTCACCAGTCACCAGTCACCAGTCACCAGTCACCAGTCACCAGTCACCAGTCATCAGTCACCAGTCACCAGTCACCAGTCACCAGTCACCAGTCATCAGTCACCAGTCACCAGTCACCAGTGACCAGTGACCAGTGACCAGTTACCAGTTACCAGTTACCAGTCACCAGTCACCAGTCACCAGTCACCAGTCACCAGTCACCAGTCACCTGTTACCAGTGACCAGTTACCAGTGACCAGTGACCAGTTACCAGTTACCAGTTACCAGTCACCAGTGACCAGTTACCAGTGACCAGTGACCAGTTACCAGTTACCAGTTACCAGTCACCAGTTACCAGTCACCAGTCACCAGTCACCTGTTACCAGTGACCAGTTACCAGTGACCAGTGACCAGTTACCAGTCACCAGTCACCAGTCACCAGTTACCAGTCACCAGTCACCAGTCACCAGTTACCAGTTACCAGTCAATTATTTACTCGTGGTTACTTACTGCTGTGTTGATTTCAGCCACTGGGTCGTCACACTGCTTAGTACACCATGGGACTTCCACGAGTTCCATGGATTTACAGTTGTTGATACTGATAGGCTGGAACTGGAACTGAAGTAGAGTATTATTAGTTAATTTTACTGAATTTAAAGGATGTTCATATTGGTAAAGTGTTTATTATTGGTATGTGTGGCTGGTATTGGTATGTGTGGCTGGTATTGGTATGTGTGGCTGGTATTGGTATGTGTGGCTGGTATTGGTATGTGTGGCTGGTATTGGTATGTGTGGCTGGTATTGGTATGTGTGGCTGGTATTGGTATGTGTGGCTGGTATTGGTATGTGTGGCTGGTATTGGTATGTGTGGCTGGTATTGGTATGTGTGGCTGGTATTGGTATGTGTGGCTGGTATTGGTATGTGTGGCTGGTATTGGTATGTGTGGCTGGTATTGGTATGTGTGGCTGGTATTGGTATGTGTGGCTGGTATTGGTATGTGTGGCTGGTATTGGTATGTGTGGCTGGTATTGGTATGTGCTTAAGTGGAATATGTCATGTGACAGGTAAAGCCTAACAAGTTGAGCTATACTGCACTGTCATGATTGAAAGTTATCAGATTCCAGGCTAATCCTCAGATCCGTGCTTTGAACTTGTGGAAATCCCTGCCAGACAGTGATATCTGACTTGTGGCAATGTGATCGCTGGCAAATCCGTCACTCTGCATCATTCCATAAAAAAATCGCAAAAATGCAACGGAGAAATTAAAAATAATAATAATAAAAAAACTTTATCGGCCCTTATTTCGACGACCCCTATTTGAAAAATAGGGCAGTCCCAATTAAAAAATTGTAAAAACAATAATAATAATAAAAGTAGAGCAGTAAAAATAATACTCCAACCCTTCTGGCAAATTCTGACACATTCTACGTTCGGCACATTTCATACCATATCAGCAGTTACCCTCGATACCGTAAAGGTAGGTTTAAGATAAATGTTAGACGAGTGTTAAAAGTGAAAGTTTAAGAATCCCAAGTTATGTCTGAGGTATGTCTCCAGAGGTATGTCTCCAGAGGTATGTCTGTATACTCACTTTGGTTTTAGAGTCCCTGCTGCCCTGGTCGCACGGGGCATGTTGGCAGACTGCCAGCTGATGGAGGTTACTTTTATCCTCCTGGTGTCGGGGGTAAATCCTCTCCATCGTGCCTCCTCCACATTTAGTTGTGCAGGACGACCACGGAGACCAAACATCTGGAAAATAGAGATTGTGAGGGGGATACTGAAAATACTTAAATACAGAGCTCGTCCTACTCATCCTACATTTCAAATTCAGCTCGTGCTACTCAGCCTCCAACAGACAGACAGGCCGGGAAGGGATGTCTACCACCCTCCAACAGACAGACAGGCCGGGAAGGGATGTCTAGCAGCCTCCAACAGACAGACAGGCCGGGAAGGGATGTCTAGCAGCCTCCAACAGACAGACAGGCCGGGACGGGATGTCTAGCAGCCTCCAACAGACAGACAGGCCGGGACGGGATGACTATCAGCCCCCAACAGACATACAGGTTGGGAAGCAGCCTCCAACAGACAGACAGGCCGGGACGGGATGTCTAGCAGCCTCCAACAGACACACAGGCCGGGAAGGGATGTCTATCAGCCTCCAACAGACAGATAGGCCGGGACGGGATGTCTAGCAGCCTCCAACAGACAAACAGGCCGGGACGGGATGTCTAGCAGCCTCCAACAGACAGACAGGCCGGGAAGCAGCCTCCAACAGACAGACAGGCCGGGAAGGGATGTCTAGTAGCCTCCAACAGACAGACAGGCCGGGAAGGGATGTCTAGCAGCCTCCAACAGACAGACAGGCCGGGAAGGGATGTCTAGCAGCCTCCAACAGACAGACAGGCCGGGAAGGGATGACTAGCAGCCTCCAACAGACAGACAGGCCGGAAAGGGATGTCTAGCAGCCTCCAACAGACAGACAGGCCGGGACGGGATGACTAGCAGCCTCCAACAGACAGACAGGCCGGGACGGGATGACTAGCAGCCCCCAACAGACAGACAGGTTGGGAAGCAGCCTCCAACAGACAGACAGGCCGGGACGGGATGACTAGCAGCCCCCAACAGACAGACAGGTTGGGAAGCAGCCTCCAACAGACAGACAGGCCGGGAAGGGATGTCTAGCAGCCTCCAACAGACAGACAGGCCGGGAAGGGATGTCTAGTAGCATCCAACAGACAGACAGGCCGGGACGGGATGTCTAGCAGCCTCCAACAGACAGACAGGCCGGAAAGGGATGTCTAGTAGCCTCCAACAGACAGACAGGTTGGGAAGCATCCTCCAACAGACAGACAGGCCGGGAAGGGATGTCTAGCAGCCTCCAACAGCCAGACAGGCCGGGAAGAAGGGATGTCTAGCAGCCTCCAACAGACAGACAGGCCGGGAAGGGATGTCTAGTAGCATCCAACAGACAGACAGGCCGGGACGGGATGTCTAGCAGCCTCCAACAGACAGACAGGCCGGGAAGGGATGTCTAGTAGCCTCCAACAGACAGACAGGCCGGGACGGGATGACTAGCAGCCTCCAACAGACAGACAGGCCGGAAAGGGATGTCTAGTAGCCTCCAACAGACAGACAGGTTGGGAAGCAGCCTCCAACAGACAGACAGGCCGGGATGGGATGTCTATCAGCCTCCAACAGACAGACAGGTTGGGACGGGATGTCTAGCAGCCTCCAACAGACAGACAGGCCGGGAAGGGATGTCTAGTAGCATCCAACAGACAGACAGGCCGGGACGGGATGTCTAGTAGCCTCCAACAGACAGACAGGTTGGGACGGGATGTCTAGTAGCCTCCAACAGACAGACAGGTTGGGATGGGATGTCTATCAGCCTCCAACAGACAGACAGGTTGGGACGGGATGTCTAGTAGCCTCCAACAGACAGACAGGTTGGGACGGGATGTCTAGCAGCCTCCAACAGACAGACAGGCCGGGAAGGGATGTCTAGTAGCATCCAACAGACAGACAGGCCGGGACGGGATGTCTAGCAGACTCCAACAGACAGACAGGTTGGGACGGGATGTCTAGCAGCCTCCAACAGACAGACAGGTTGGGAAGCAGCCTCCAACAGACAAACAGGCCGGGACGGGATGACTAGCAGCCCTCTCCCCCCTAGCAGCACCACCTCATCACCACTACATCATCATCCTCTAACCGCGCTAACTCAACCAATTAAAATTGTTTATGTAATTCAAGGTACAGTGACAATCTGAAAGTGCTAAAGTAGACATTTGTCTGTCACCATATCCTCCCAGAGCCCTAACAATTGGATCCGTGCGAGGCAAATAGTTCTCATTCTCCGTTAAATAGTACTTATTCTCCGGTTTAATGGTTTGAGGTGCTGATCAGAGGGGAGAGGTCTGGAGTGATCACAGGAGAGAGAGTCATGTCTAGAGTGATCAGACGTATATGGAGATATACCAAGCACCTGCTGATCCAGCCGGCCTGACCCCTGAATTATCCCAGATAATCATGATTCGTGACACGATTACTCATTCACAGGCTAAATACCTAAGCTCGTAACTCAATCACCCATGAGGTAGAGGCTGTTCAAGTTAGATTAAGGGACCGAGAATTAGCTGAAACCTCGTCTCCCTATGTCACGACTAAAATAAAAAGAACATGGTTCATTTGATTCCATATATGGAAACATTGACAGTGCAGTGCAGCATGATATTTTCACATTCCCCAATGTTAATGCAACAACTATAATTTAATCAATAAACTTGTGCAAGCCCAAGATCGAGCATCTTTTGAAGGGATTTGTTGGGTACTGAAGACCGGCCCTTTTTTATACAGTTGTGTAGTATCCGGTGTAGTGTAAGGAGTACTAAAATGTCTTTACTCCTCTGGACAATAGATCACAGTAACCACTGCATCCGGTTTAACATGAGGTTAAAGTAGCTAGGTACAATCTTTATGAATTATAATGAGAACCCACGTACTGTGCTGCAGCATGTATACAATTGCTCCCTGCTGGATTTTACCCGGAATACTTACTGTAACAATGTCCGACAGGATTGTATTCCGTGATATTAACTGTAAGCTCTATAATACTTACTGTAACAATGTCCGACAGGATTGTATTCCGTGATATTAACTGTAAGCTCTATAATACTTACTGTAACAATGTCCGACAGGATTGTATTCCGTGATATTAACTGTAAGCTCTATAATACTTACTGTAACAATGTCCGACAGGATTGTATTCCGTGATATTAACTGTAAGCTCTATAAGTCGCTCCAGAGATGTTACGTCCATTTCTGGAACTGGAATAGGTGCTTGGAGGGATCTGAAAACGAAGCACAAAATTAGGGTTAATTAGCGCGGGCGGCAGGTATAAGGCAAGTGGGGGGAGGTGAGCTATTATCTCTTGACACGTGACGGTGATCCACCAATCAAGCCGCAGCGTCGTCCAATCAGAGCTGTGGAGCTGTGTCACGTGTCAAAACAAATAGGTTCACATCCCGTCCATAGTCTAGTGTGGTTACTAGGTGTAACCCTAGTAACCACACTAGTAACCACTATGTATAACAGTGTCAAACAGTCTACAAATGTCTTATCGGCCCTAATAGCGCCGGCCATCGTCTGCAGTATTCATGGCCGACCTAAATCCCACAAAATAACACCAAAATTTACTGGTGTTTGATTGATTAAGTTATTTTTATAAATAACTTTAAAAAATAAATAAATTTTATAAAATTATCAGATTAGGGCCGATTAAGTACAAAAAAATATAGAAATCGTTTCAAATCTCATTGTCCGAACTGTCTGCAAGCGGTATGCAAGCAGCCATGCTAGATTAATCATAATCATTAGCGAAAAGAGAAGAGATCATAGAAGAAAAAAAGATAGATAAGAGCAGAATTAGAATTAAGTATAAGTGGGTCAAAGTCTCTAATCAATCTTTTTTTGAAATCAGTGAAGAAGCTTTCCTTTTTTCTATAAATTTTCCACATTAACATATGCAAAAAAAGGCATATTCTGGATTGTTGGTATTGAGGGCACACTTAAATGATAAGCATTTAAGGAAAGTTCAATTGTTTTTCGGTGCATAAGCAAGAGAACGCCCTTTATCGCTTCATGTAAAGAATTCATTTCTATTGCTTCAAATTTGGAAGCCTATGTGTATCTGGAGCATACAGCAATTAAACACATATTTTGAATTTTGGTATTACATTCATGGCCTAGAAGAATCATAATCTAATCATACAATTAATCAAAGATGATTTTATTTGCGTTCGTATTTTTGCATCAAAGGCAGTTTTAGCAATCAAGCTAGATTACAAGTTACGGGCATGCGAATTCCATGCTCTACAATTTTACCATATGCATCCATATATGATAGAAATTATGCCTGAAAACGTACATATATTTCTTTTTTTGTTGTGACCTGCAAGAAAAGTAATGATAGACTCATAGCAAAGAAAGAATTAAAGGGCAGGAAACAGCCGCAAAAAAGGTCCCTTACGTTTGTTATAAGCTACATAAAGGATTAAACGGCAAATCTCACTGTATGAAAGGGACTCACGCTCTCACACGTACATACCTTTATCGACCCTAATCTGGTATTTTTAACTTTCATTTTTAGAGGCATTTTAGAGGCATTTTAGAGGGATTTTAGAGGGATTTTAGAGGGATTTCGATCTTGTCAGTATAAGTTTTTAAACCATTTTTGTTTTCACATCCATTATCTTTACGTCCAAATGATAAAAAGTGAATTGCGTCTCTACTTCACGATCGAAATCAAATATTTCTTCAGTAAATTCTGATGTGGTAACATCAATTCAAGGCCAGTAATTTTGTGATTTTGAATTATATTTAATCTATATTAACTTATTTAATCTATATATGTGTACAAATTCACCTTAGCATGATGATCTGTAGGTTTTATTGTTTTTGACGGTTTCACAAGACTACATTGTAAGGGCACGATGAAACCGGGCCGATAAGGTTGAGTAAAAACAACAACACACTAACAAAACACACACTCACAAGACTAGCACGTGTAACGACAAAAACACACTGAACACATGTCACGTGATTAACTACACACTCTGAGGAGGGCTGCCCCACTTCACTATTAACGTTCATTAACAACATCCGAGACTTAATGATACCGTAAAACATTAAAATCGGGGGTTTTTAACACTGATCAGTATTAGAGCCATAAAATTGCTATTTTGGGTCCTTTGAGGAAGCCACTCTAGAGAGTTATAGCCATGATACCCGTAAATAAATAGGTAAATATCCGTAAATCGGGACAATTTCAAGAATTTTCTCTTCAAAGAAAGAGTCCTAAGCCAGTTAGAATTAAGGAGCCCTGAGCAGGTGAGAATTAGGGAGAACTAAGCCGGTGAGAATTAAGGAGTCCTAAGCCGGAGAGAATTAAGGAGTCCTAAGCCGGAGAGAATTGGGAAGCCCTGAGCCGGTGAGAATTAAGGAGCCCTGAGCCGGTGAGAATTAAGGAATCCTAAGCCGGTGAGAATTAAGGAGTCCTAAGCCGGTGAGAATTAAGGAGCCCGGAGCCGGTGAGATTTAGGGAGTCCTGAGCGGGTGAGAATTGGGAAGCCCTGAGCCGGTGAGAATTAAGGAGTCCTAAGCCGGTGAGAATTAAGGAGTCCTGGGCGGGTGAGAATTAGGAAGCCCCGAGCCGGTGATAATTAAGGAGTTCTGGGCCGGTGAGAATTAGGGAGTCCTGAGCCGGTGACAATTAGTAAGCCCTGAGCCGGTGAGAATTAAGGAATCCTAAGCCGGTGAGAATTAGGGAGAACTAATCTGGTGAGAATTAAGGAGTCCTAAGCCGGTGAGAATTAGGAAGCCCGGAGCCGGTGAGAATTAAGGAGTTCTGGGCCGGTGACAATTAGGGAGTCCTAAGCCGGTGAGAATTAGGGAGAACTAAGCCGGTGAGAATTAAGGAGTCCTAAGCCGGTGAGAATTAGGGAGTCCTAAGCCGGTGAGAATTAGGGAGTCCTAAGCCGTGAGAGTCCTAAGCCGGTGAGAATTAAGGAGTCCTAAGCCGGTGAGAATTAAGGAGTCCTAAGCCGGTGAGAATTAGGGAGTCCTGAGCGGGTGAGAATTGGGAAGCCCTGAGCCGGTGATAATTAAGGAGTCCTAAGCCGGTGAGAATTAGGAAGCCCTGAGCCGGTGATAATTAAGGAGTCCTAAGCCGGTGAGAATTAAAGAGTTCTGGGCCGGTGAGAATTAGGGAGTCCTAAGCCGGTGAGAATTAGGGAGTCCTGAGCGGGTGAGAATTAGTAAGCCTGAGCCGGCGAGAATTAGGAAGCCCTGAGCCGGTGAGAATCAAGGAGTCCTAAGCCGGTGAGAATTAAGGAGTTCTGAGCCGGTGAGAATTAAGGAGTTCTGAGCCGGTGAGAATTAAGGAGTTCTGAGCCGGTGACAATTAAGGAGTCCTGGCCGGCTGAGCTAGGCCCAGGGAATGCTCCCTGGTAAAGTCTACTAAAATAATTATAAACAGATGCTACTTATATATCATTAATGACATAGGACAAGCCAGCTGTATGTTTTGTTTACTGCGTGACAGCATGCGGTGCAAAATTTCCGGTATTTTACGAGAAAGCTCCGGTTATATACGTATTTACGTGTTACATTGCGTGCACAAGCAGGTTACACTCACCTACAAACGTACACACACACACACTCACTCACACACTCACACAGACACACTCACACAGACACACTCACAAACTCACACACACTCACACACACGCACACACAATGTTCTTAAATACGCTCAAATTTCGTCACACACGATCACATATATTATATACGTATCGTATTTTTTAAACTTATTCTACGAAAATTGGTATACTCACTTAAACAGTATCACACATGCAGACACACACATTTTACACATGTTACACATGTTACACATGTTACACATGTTACACATGTTACACATGTTACACATGTTACACATGTTACACATGTTACACACACATTTTACACATGTTACGAACAGGTAAACACATTCCACAGCACACGAATACCCAATCTTTACTTGCTGATCACACGTTCAGTCACATCGCACTATCAACCCCACATAAGGTGAATTAACTGGCCGCAGCAAATGTATTAAATCGATGGGAAATATAGCTATAATATAGCTATAATGTAGCTATAATAGTAAAGTATTATAGCTACAATATAGCTATAATATAAAACATGCTGATCGGATCACTGGGACTTACATTCGGGTAAAGTCGGAGGCACTGTTCTTTTTCTTCTTCCGTCGTCTCCTGTGAAACATTTCAACTGTTACAACCCTAAACCTGTCTAAAAGTATTAATAAATCCCGAAAAACGCCAAATCTGTGAAGATTTAAGGCCTCGTTGCACTTGGATGTGTTAAACGAGGGTTGTACGGGTGCATAGGGAGTCGTGCACAACTGACCGGTACGTGCACAACTGACCGGTACGTGCACAACTGACCGGTACCTGCACAACTGACCGGTACCTGCACAACTGACCGGTACCTGCACAACTGACCGGTACCTGCACAAATGACCGGTAAGTGCACAAATGACCGGTACGTGCACAACTGACCGGTACGTGCACAACTGACCGGTACGTGCACAACTGACCGGTACGTGCACAACTGACCGGTACGTGCACAACTGACCGGTACGTGCACAACTGACCGGTACGTGCACAACTGACCGGTACGTGCACAACTGACCGGTACGTGCACAACTGACCGGTACGTGCACAACTGACCGGTACGTGCACAACTGACCGGTACGTGCACAACTGACCGGTACCTGCACAACTGACCGGTACCTGCACAACTGACCGGTACGTGCACAACTGACCGGTACGTGCACAACTGACCGGTACGTGCACAACTGACCGGTACCTGCACAAATGACCGGTAAGTGCACAACTGACCGGTAAGTGCACAAATGACCGGTACGACGTACGTGCACAACTGACCGGTAAGTGCACAAATGACCGGTACCTGCACAACTGACCGGTACGTGCACAACTGACCGGTACCTGCACAAATGACCGGTACCTGCACAAATGACCGGTAAGTGCACAAATGACCGGTACGACGTACGTGCACAACTGACCGGTAAGTGCACAAATGACCGGTACCTGCACAAATGACCGGTACCTGCACAAATGACCGGTAAGTGCACAAATGACCGGTACGACGTACGTGCACAAATGACCGGTACGTGCACAACTGACCGGTACGTGCACAACTGACCGGTACCTGCACAACTGACCGGTACCTGCACAAATGACCGGTAAGTGCACAAATGACCGGTACGACGTACGTGCACAACTGACCGGTAAGTGCACAAATGACCGGTACCTGCACAACTGACCGGTACGTGCACAACTGACCGGTACCTGCACAAATGACCGGTACCTGCACAAATGACCGGTAAGTGCACAAATGACCGGTACGACGTACGTGCACAACTGACCGGTAAGTGCACAAATGACCGGTACCTGCACAACTGACCGGTACCTGCACAACTGACCGGTACCTGCACAACTGACCGGTACCTGCACAAATGACCGGTACGTGCACAACTGACCGGTACGTGCACAACTGACCGGTACCTGCACAACTGACCGGTACCTGCACAACTGACCGGTAAGTGCACAACTGACCGGTAAGTGCACAACTGACCGGTACGTGCACAAATGACCGGTACGTGCACAAATGACCGGTACGTGCACAACTGACCGGTACCTGCACAAATGACCGGTACCTCCACAACTGACCGGTACCTGCACAACTGACCGGTACGTGCACAACTGACCGGTACCTGCACAAATGACCGGTACCTGCACAACTGCCCGGTACCTGCACAAATGACCGGTACCTGCACAACTGACCGGTACCTGCACTACCGCCCTGAAATCATCCACAGTACCTGTCTGGTGGATGTAGACAGTCAGGGCGGTAATAAGCCTAATTGCACTTCCCGACAACTATTTTAAAAGAGTCCCCCCCCCCCCCCCACTTTTAACAGATCTTCTGTGGCAATACAGACGAGCAGTGGAACCATGGCTAATTGAGAGGCCACTTGTACCAGACCACAGGTCTCTTGTTTGAAGCCAACAACTGGGCAGTAGCCCGACATGTGTTCGGGAACACATGTCGGGCTACTTGGATACTGCCAACAACTGCGGGGTCTCCGGCCCCATTGTCAGGGTCTTCGACCTGACTCTTGTTAGGCTTGGGATTACATGGAGCGTATCGAGGGTAAGGTACGGACACTTAGCTAACTCCATTCTTAGACAGGTCACGTAAACGGGAATACAAGAGATATGGGGTCGGGTCTGTGTTTAGTTGGTAGCGGGAAAAAAAGAAGCATCTCATTCTGGTAACCCATCGGCCATCCTATTGTGTAATTGTGTCGCAAAATAAAAATTTTGTTGGAGAATTTGAATGAAAACTAACTTGTTTTTTCTAGTCATGACTTTCTCCTCGAAAAAGAAGAAGTAATTCTGATTGGGCTTGAGGAGTGGCTCCCAACATCGTCTGTACTGCATTGTGAAGTTTATCTCCTGGACATAATTATTATCATGGTCAGTGATTTGCGAAACATATTTTCGTCATAAAGTTATGAAATCGACAGAAAAGTACCAAATAAATCAATTTCTGAAATGTTGATAAACTGAAAAGATCAGAAAGCTTGACGAAAAAGAGTGCATGATATCCTAAAACAAAACAAGATTTGTATACCTGATGGAGCATTGTTTCCCGTTTTTCCTTTGGGGCTTTGTATATACAGGTAACGAACAGTTTGACGGCTTGGTGGGTATTGTTTTGTTTCGTTGCTACCACCCTGCCCACTGAAAGTGTAAGAACTGGTTCAAATTCCGCTGTATTATCCACACTCTTGAACCTGCCACATCTTAAACTTTCATTACATTGTTATCATAGACTCCAGTTCATGGATGAATCAAGAAAACAGTCTCCACCGATAATTAATCGATTGACGTCCAAATCGGCAGTAATGTTAGCACTAATTTTGCCAGACAAAATTGGTAATTATACGTGACTAACGTGTGGGCATGGAAAATCACATACTCGGTTTATAGCGATGGTTTGCATGATAAGCAATATGCATAAGTTAAATTGTTTAAAGTACCGAGGTAAATAATTTGGCTGTAGTAATTTTCTTTCGGAAAGCGTTAAAATCAAATTACAGTTGATTCTTTGAGTGTGTTAGTGGTAAATTTGACGGAAGATGGTATCGGTGAGCGATTGTAGTTGTTACAAAATTTTTGTTACAGCCTTCATTACGGTTTTCATATTCATTGGCGGAATGTCGCGTTGCCAAGCCTTCTCAAATAAAATCAGAATAAAATAAGATCACTGCCTACTATTTAAAATATTTGAGAATTGATCACACGTATATATATATATATATATCCGAAAACGAGATCAATGATTTTAAAAATGTTCTCCAAATATTTGATTATTACTGCACCTATAATCAAATAATGAAATCTTGAATAACATAACTCAGAATATAATAGAATAACTTACAGCTAAAAATAGCGTTGTCAAATGAATTTTGCCTCTAAGATGATCGGCTGTTAACAAGACTAGTTGTATATAAGAGTGATCGATTTTCAGTAATTTCAGTGAACAAAATTCATTTTAAACCGCTTTAAACAACAACTTTAAGGATCAAATAGTTCCATAATTTGTTAAGGCTTTGTTATTAGAGAATTTATGTGATTCCGAGCTTCCGATTGGACGGTTACAATAATACACAAACATTAACAAAGGATTACTACTTTGACTTACACTCAACATTCGCCAGGCGACTAATAAATGAATTCAATAAAGTATAAAAGTAACACAACAAACAATATGATACAAGGGCAGGTCACTCCCGGTGTTGGAATGGCCTGAGGTGCTTATCTCCTTTACTGAGGTGCTTATCTCCTTTACAGTAACCCTAAGCCACTCCGTGCCGAGGCACTATAATACTAGCTGCAGGGGGGTTAGTCCTACGAGTAATACAACTAAAAGTAATGCAACTAAAAGTAATACAACTAAAGTAATGCAACTAAAAGTAATACAACTAAAATTAATACAACTAAAAGTAATACAACTAAAAGTAATACAACTGACCTAAAATGAAGGGGGCGTCGGCGTACTGTTCGATATGGTTTCGCAGACCGGACCGATAACTTGGCTCAAGGCACATTAAGGAGGCTTGTGGAACTAAGCTTACTAGTACAATTACACAGAAAACTCGACTATTCATTCTTATTACACCATCTTTAGTAGAGTTTAGAACCTGGAAAATAATTATAATTACTACAATTTAATTGATTAATTATAATTATAATTACTAATTATACTACAATTTAGAGTTTACATTATTATGGTAATAATTATAAGATAATTATAATTACTACAATTTAGAGTTTACATTATTATGGTGTTTACAAATAGTACTTACTAATTTTTTTCTGCAAGAATGAAACGTTTACGAATGGATATAAAAGAGTAAAGCCTATCAAAAAATTACGATAACCAGATAAATAAAAGAGGAAATAATTAATTTCAACATTTAATCCTACCCAGCCTCGCGCAGAAATGCATGAATATCTTGCTCCTCGCTTACACTTGTGTGAGCTTGGAGAAGCATCATGAGCGGGTGTTGCCAGGTAACTGGCTATCCCGCGAATGGAAGCTTAGATTAAACAAATATATGATCAGACTTACCTCCACTAAGACAAATAACTAGTAAACCGTATACAAGTTTAATAGTATTCGTTCCTCAAATGTGTGTTGCTGGAATACGTGGAATGGGGATTGGTGGAAGGATTACTTGCTGATATAGAATAAACTGTCATAATAACATGCCTAGTGAGGTTGGGGTGAGACAATTTAAAAGTAACAAATCACAAATATCTATTTTATTATTAGCATAAATAAAAGTAACAAATCACAAATATCTGTCTTATTATTAACATAATAACATAATTATTAGCATAAGTACTAAGGAGGCTTTAGTGAACACATACTGTCTAAAAGACAGGACAACAAAAGTAAAATTCATAGAACTATTTATGTGGCAGTCACACAACTAACTTATATCTTTATATAAGTTATATAACTAAGTTATAACTAAGTTATTACACCAATCTAGCTAAGCAAAGGGTAATAATATAGCACTGACAGGTGGCTGAGATGTACACTGACAAAACTGTATCGAAAGTCTGGCCCCTTAAGATTTCGGGACAAAAGATCTAGGGAATCTAGAGAATCTTAGAAGAGCGCAGGTATGAGACTGGGACAACACCCCTCCATTTAAGTTTTATTACAACAATCGGAAAATTATCCTAAAGTAGAGCCGAATCTAATACTGAAACGGGCCCGATCCTAGATAACTCACACCCTCCGGATCACACCTAATATTTCCGAGTCAACTTCACAGCGATATTAACATCAATTGTAACTGCAAAAAATTAATCATGTCGGGGAAAATAAGATTTAAATATTTCTAGTAGGACATTATTAATATAAAGTGTGATACAACCCAAGGGAAGGGCCAAGTATGTGTGAAGGAGGCTACCTCAGGACGTGATCTCCGTACGCGATGCCTTCACTAATAATCAGGTGCAGAATCCTGACTTTGATGGCAGTTTCTGTTCTTGTAGTGTCTAATATCATGGCATGTTGCCGTTTACTTTTCTAATTCTGGGGAATTGAGCACGATTTTTTTCTTTGATCAACCATCGGAGAGTCTAGTTTTAAATGAAAATGAGGTTGGAAAATAAAAACTAGGACATGGACGCAATCTGAAACGTGTCATATCTAAGATAAAATAATCTTTTCGTCCACCTTTTTTATGAAAGGAAAGTAGACAAACCACGTGTCAGTAGAAAAACCACAAGACTTTTCTGGACCACAGTTGTTAACAAAACAATTCACTGCAATCTACCTCAAGAAGGATCATTCAGTATAAAGAGAAAATTCAGTTAAAGAGAATTAGGTATAAACGTTTTAAAGGTTCATTGTAAAAGTATGTAATTATGAGAGAAGGAAGAGCAAATAGACAATAGATATTGGGCAGATTGCCAACATTAAAGGTTGTGGTAACGGCCAGGAATCGAATGCAGTAAAGAGCAAAAACTGACTCCAACACCAAAATGAGAACAATCAAGATTCGGGTGTAATGTTGATTAATCCAGACTAATGACTGGGCTTCAGGATGAATTGACTTCAATCCAGCAAATTGATAAAATTATAAACCCCTTAGCTTCAGGGGGACTACAAGCGGTAAGACGGCAGTTGACGTAGAATCAATTGATCGAACAAACCCCATTCAACTGGGTAATATGGATTAAATGAGATTAATGTAACCGAGCTTGGTACAAAATGCAACAATTAGTCGCCACTCACAGACAGGCTAAACTACAGCTATCTTCGACACAGTCCAGATAAAATCGTGTTTACAGGGTAAACTACTGATGAAAATCAATACAATCCGTGCGGATAAAATCATATTTACAAAGTTAACTATCGATGAAAAGAATTTGGTCAATACATAAAAGCTGGGTGATGATACAACTATACACATGAGAGGCTGGGTTTACCTTTTGTTTTGTGCAGATCATGAAACAATGGAGATTAAACGTCAAGAAGGCAGACACACTAATTAGAATGTCGGGACTAAACCCAGAATAGATTTCATAAAACAAGGCGGATCCGTTTAAGACAATTAATCCATAAGGTTAGGGTAAAAAATATAAAAATATCCAAGTCTACCTTCGGGAGACGAGAGTCGGAGAAAAGGAGAGTAACAATCTTACAATATGAGGCAAAGATTAGATTAAACAGAGGACTTGACAAAACCCGAGAGAAGGGGCCGTTCCTGTAGAGTGTAGGGCTTCAGTGCTGGAATCATCCTGAAACACCTCAGAAGACATATATCGCACAGCTCTAAGAATATATTAATGTGTGCTATTTAGAGTGCCAAAACACTAAAAAATGTCGCTGAAAATTTACTAAAAAGTGGGTTCTCGCGGTCATGACGACCACTCATTAAGTTTGGTCCTGAAATGAGACTATCATGTTGCTGAAGTGCCGTCGAGAGAGGGAAATTAGCTGGAAGTGGGGCATTAGTGTCGGGGCACTGGAGCATGTACCCTTGTAGATGTGAAGCTTAGAATCGAATTACTGGGGGTATGTCTGAGGAGGTGAGGATTATCAGAGGAGTGACCTCAAGCTCTGACGGGGTATGTGGTTTGAAATATGTGGATGAGTAATCGTGACGCTTTGTATGCTGATGTTACATTTGTTGATTGCAATTGTAAGTGAGGAAGCCCCACAAAGTTAGACTTCATACTTAACCAGGATAAAAGGGCCGGCTGAGTATGGAGTTTCGTTTGAACTAGTGCACTCCAAAAGTCTGGTTAGAAATCTAACTGGAAAGTATTTGCCGATCGTAAATGAATGGTGTCGGAAAGTTGCAAGATTTGAGCGGCTTAAATGAGAGCAGCAGCGTCTCTCCAGCGTGAGGAGCACACAGATCAAAAGAGCATTTGATTGGGAATTTATTCAAAAATGCAAATAATTCAGTATTTTTGACGCATCATGCTTCTAAGCAGACACACGCCTTAAAAGGTAACCGTCCAATGGGAGTCCCGGGAGGTGTGCACCTGACGAGCTGCTGACCAATAAGGGAACAGCGGCCGAGGGGAGGATATTATAAGGAAGACTTGTGGCGACCATGCCATGTACTTTAATCGGTCCTGATCACTTAAATATTTGACCTTTATAAGTTTAGAACGATTGTGTCGTAACATGGATTTAGAAGGGGAAGACTGTGCTCAAGACACGTTCCAATGCCATACAAGGTGATGATACCTGGTCCATCAGGGGCCTGCCCCGTCTTCAGGGGCCTGTCCCGTCATCAGGGGCCTGCCCCGTCTTCGGGGGGCTATGTGTTTGAATTAGGGTGTATCGTGCCGCTTTGTAGGGGTCATTGTTCGATTCATTGTCGAGGGCCCCCGTAGCTTATACTAACGGTAAGGGCCGTAGTATGGGTTCGTTTGAACTAGTGTCTCAGGGTCTGTCCTATTTAGGGCCTTTCCGTCTATCAGGGCTGTCAAAGTTTCAGTGGCGGCTGTCCCGTCTTCAGGGGGCCAGTCCAAGCTTTGATTGGGACTTTACAATCTATCAGGGCCTGCTCCCTCTTTCAAGGGCCTAGATCCGTCCAAGGGGCTGTCCCTTTGGGGTGTCCCGCATCAGGGCTGCTACCATAGGGACCGCCGTTAGGGGCGTATTATAGGGCTGCCGTACTTGGGCCTGCCCGTCTTCAAGGGCCTGCCCCGTCATATTAGAGGTGTCGTCATGGATCTTAGGGGCCTGTGCCAGCCGTCTTCAGGGCTGATCCGGGTCTTCAGGGGCCTGCCCCGTCTTCAGGGGCCTGTCCCGTCTTCAGGGGCCTGTCCCGTCTTCAGGGGCCTGTCCCGTCTTCAGGGGCCTGTCCCGTCTTCAGGGGCCTGTCCCGTCTTCAGGGGCCTGTCCCGTCTTCAGGGGCCTGCCCCGTCTTCAGGGGCCTGTCCCGTCTTCAGGGGCCTGCCCCGTCTTCAGGGGCCTGTCCCGTCTTCAGGGGCCTGCCCCGTCTTCAGGGGCCTGTCCCGTCTTCAGGGGCCTGTCCCGTCTTCAGGGGCCTGTCCCGTCTTCAGGGGCCTGTCCCGTCTTCAGGGGCCTGCCCCGTCTTCAGGGGCCTGTCCCGTCTTCAGGGGCCTGCCCCGTCTTCAGGGGCCTGCCCCGTCTTCAGGGGCCTGTCCCGTCTTCAGGGGCCTGCCCCGTCTTCAGGGGCCTGCCCCGTCTTCAGGGGCCTGTCCCGTCTTCAGGGGCCTGTCCCGTCTTCAGGGGCCTGTCCCGTCTTCAGGGGCCTGTCCCGTCTTCAGGGGCCTGTCCCGTCTTCAGGGGCCTGTCCCGTCTTCAGGGGCCTGTCCCGTCTTCAGGGGCCTGTCCCGTCTTCAGGGGCCTGCCCCGTCTTCAGGGGCCTGTCCCGTCTTCAGGGGCCTGCCCCGTCTTCAGGGGCCTGTCCCGTCTTCAGGGGCCTGTCCCGTCTTCAGGGGGCTGTCCCGTCTTCAGGGGCCTGTCCCGTCTTCAGGGGCCTGCCCCGTCTTCAGGGGCCTGTCCCGTCTTCAGGGGCCTGTCCCGTCTTCAGGGGCCTGTCCCGTCTTCAGGGGCCTGTCCCGTCTTCAGGGGCCTGTCCCGTCTTCAGGGGCCTGTCCCGTCTTCAGGGGCCTGCCCCGTCTTCAGGGGCCTGCCCCGTCTTCAGGGGCCTGTCCCGTCTTCAGGGGCCTGCCCCGTCTTTCACGGACATGTGACCACTACCGATTCTTCCAGCTGATTTTGGCATAAAATAACCATACACCAGCACTAAATACAACCTTGTAGTCCTAAACAAGTTGAATGCTATAACACTAGACACCCCCGCGAGCCGGAACAGTTGAAACCTACACTAGTTATCCTGCCAACTATCCGGCACAGTGTTCTAAGCTAATCAGTAACTAGTGGTAACAAGTGGTAACTAGTGGTAACTCGTGGTAACCAGTGGTAACCAGTGGTAACCAGTGGTAACCAGTGGTAACAGTTGAAACCTACACTAGTTATCCTGCCAACTATCGGGCACATTGTTCTAAGCTAATCAGTACCCCTCCCGTACAATCACCAAAGATCTTATAACAGTCCTCTGCGTGTATCTTAACGGGATAATTCGTGTGTCAAGCCCCGGCTGATAATCTGATAATATACTGATAAATGTGGATTGTGAGTGTGTAATGAAGTAATGATGGGAGCTAAAGCAAGAAAGTAGGATATTATATGTGTTTTGTTCTTG